TAACATTTAAAGTTAGAATATTATCATTGTGTATTCAATACTGTTTTAAGGAGAAAATAAACTGATCACGCATCTGATCCACATTTACTACTTGCCGTCTGTTGACTATATCCTCAGTCGGGAAGGTAAGAAATGTATTCACCCATAAATAGCTTAAAATTTAATGGGGAAAACATGATGCACATTTATGAAACTATTAATCCCAAAATAACATTGTGTATCATCATTATGCTTTCGTGTAATTATTAAATATAATGAAATATTACACATCACAGTGATTTTTTTCAACTGTGGATGTGGAGACATGAAACTGAATTACTTATTGTAGAAAAATTTATTTCTATTCCTGCGTAAAAACAATGTTTCAATATGTCTAAAGGACATTGAGCTCTTGAAATAATAAAATGTTTGTCAGAGGTGGACTGTAGAGACGCATGGGTGTTCTGGAGGAGGCTGGGCAACTGGTACCTAAGAAGCAAGATAGTCTACAACTTCAGCGCACTAGAGGACCAAGTGCACACGGAGAAAGCTCTTACAGATGCTGGCCGTGGGTTGCCACAATCCTGCCTGTACAGGACAAAATGCCAGGACCTGCAGGCTAAGAAAGCAAGGAAGCTGATGGGGAGGATCGATGTCGATAGGAAGAAGTAAAGAGACAGTCTGCCATTATGGGAAATGGCAAGGAGGCTCCTCAGAAACTCCAGTCGGCCAGGAGATTCAGAAATTCCACTTCTGGGTATGTGTCCAAAGAAACTGAAACCTGAAGATCACAGAAATCTACACTCCCAAGTCCATCGCAGCCCTGTTCACAGTTGCCAAGATGTGAAATCCATCTACCAGTGGAGGAAGAAAATGTGGTACATACACACAGCGGAATGCGGTCCAGCCTCAGGAAGGAGGAGCTCATGCCTGGCCACAACACGGAAGGATCTGGAAGACAAACCCTGCGCTACGGGAAATACGCCAGGAGCAGAAAGCCACCCAAACTATCTCCCAAGTGTGTGTAGTCCCAGATCATGCTGCTCACAGAAGCTGAGTAGAATGTCGGTTCATAGGGGCTGGGCAGTGGGCAAAGGGAGGGATGTGGGTCAAAGGACCCAAGATTGCAGAGATTGGAAGATATATTTGCAACATGGTAATTATATTTAATAATAATGTATTATATCTTTCAAAATTACTGAGAGTCAATTTTAAATACTCCCACCGCAGCAAATGATAGGTATGTGAGGCAATGGATCTATTATTAGCTGGATTTAGTCATTCCACAGGGTGTACAGATGTCAAAACATCACATTGCATACCACAAATATATACAATTTTTGTCAATGAAAATAATTTTGAAAATATTCTTAAAAAGAGAAAGAAAGAGAAACCGATCTCCAGCTAGAAAGCAAGTTAAGCCATGAGGTCATGTCTTTAGCTCCAAGTAGAACTGGAGCCACGTAGTGAAGAAGTCTGGGCTTCAGAGAGTAGAAGCTGCTTAGCCTAGAGGGTCTTTTCAGTAGCTTTCAGGAGGTCCATGAACCTTGAAATAGTATCTTCAGTTTGCACAAATGTTTGAGAGTTTACAGCTCTCGCAGTTTCTCTCGTTAAAAATCTACAGCCCAGATGAAGTTCAAGTGAATGAACAGACCACTGTTTAAATTAAGTCAGTAATTATGAAAAAGAAGAAAGTGGTGGTCTTGGATCCCTGAAAGTCCACATGAGCCAACTCAGAGCTGCCCATCCAGTGGGACCAGCCCTGGTGTCCAGCCTGTGCTCTGTGGCATGCACTTCCGCCATGCTGATTTCCAACTGCCAGGGAGATACTGACCAACGCCTACGTCCTTGAAAACGTGAACCAGCTTCTTCCAGCCTGGAGGAGTCGGCTCCAGAGACAAGACAGGTAAGTTCTCAGGTCTGGAGAAAACTCAAGTTAGGTCACTAATGAATATAGGTGAGCCTGCCCTTCCATGCATTTTCTCTTTAAATTTTGGAAGTATTACTTTAAATAGAAGAATATTAGGAAGACTTCTGAAAATGCTGAACTGAGTTTAAAAAACAAGAATCATGAATTAAGAAAAAAAAAAATCTTCTCTTACTTTTTGATGAGGAAATTAACGTCTGTAGAAAAATTAATGGAAGAGGATGAAATGGCAGAGGGTGCCAGAGTTACAAGGAAGAAATCAGGTCCCTTCTAGAGCAGTGACTCTCAAAATAGGGATCCTGCGCCAGCAGCAGCAGCATCACCTGAAACCCTGATAGAAATTAGGTTCCTAAGCCCACTCCCCAGAGCTTCTGGGTCAGACACTCTGAGAATGTGGCCTAGTGGCGTGTGTTTTAAGATCTCCAGGGACGGTGGCCTGCACTACAGTCTAGGGACCACTTCCCTAAAGCAATGGTCTCAGATTTCAGGTGACCAAGCATCCCTGGGAGAATTCATTAAAGTGCGGGCTCCTGGCCCCACCACACAATTGTTAAACCAGAAACCTCAGGGGCAAGGTTCAGGAATAAAACCAGGTTTTATTCCATTCGAAACTATTTGCATTTGTCGTGGTTTGTAACACAGAGCCACTGGGAGGAAGAAAGAAACCAAAAAAAAAATGTTTATGCACAAAAATATATCAAAGACTCTAATAAACCCTCATGAAATTATTACTCACCTTAAAAAATATAAATATTATTTATTTTTTAGTTTATTTTCCGTGAGGATAATTTAATGAAATGCCTATCATCTCCCCAGCAGATAACTCAGGATGTGTCTCTCCCAGATAAAGGTTTTTGTTTTCTATTATTAGTTGCCATTGTTACAATGAATAAAATTAATAACAATTTTCTTAAATCTTTATCACAGAAATACAAAAAAGTGTCTTTTGTAGGTCCATACACCACTTTTGTTCGCTCTCTCATATTCTGGAATAGCTCCTCACCCACCCCACTTCTCAGTGCCAGGTATTTGTTAGAAAACCTGGGCTGTGAGCTTCAGTTTTCCACACTCTGGGCTTGGCTGAATGTGCAATCAGGATTTTTGTCTTGAATGGCCTGCTAGATTGATCCAGAGACTAGTTTCCCTTGAGGTACTGTGTCTGGGAAGCATGCTTCCTGGGTGGCCCAGTGTACTTGCTGCCCTATCAGGAGGCACACAAGGTCTAGTTTTAACCCTTTCTGGGCAGTGAGATTGATCAAGGGGTACAGGTATCGTCAGACTGAACTATCCAATTAAAAAAGTGCAAATCACATTGTGTATTTCCTGCCTCAGACTAGGCCAGGACTGCCATGTACGACCCCCACAGACAGCTAAGGGTCGCTGGAGTGAACTCCCTAAGGCATCAAATAAAACACAGACACACAATTTACCTTTAAATCAAGCCCCAGATGGCTCCTCTGCCCTCGGCCTCAAGTTCCCCAAATGGGAGATTGAGGAGTCTCACTAGATGCTGGTGAGAGAGCGCGAGCACGGTTCAGAGTGGACTTTTACTGGGGGAACTCTAGATTCTTTAGAAATTTCCATCCAATGAAGGTCAAAGGGGGCAGGGTTACAAGGACAGGTGAGCATAGCTCGATCCCTGGGGATGTGGGAAGGCACGCCCCTGCACGAAGATATATTTGCATTTTCTCTACCCTCAAGATCAGGGTTACTGTCTTCAGTTACCTAAGCAACCAGAGCACAGGGTGACCAACAGTGCCTCAGCCGACCAGGAGGGGAAGCCAACACTGGTCACAGGTTATGTCAGCCTCCCACACATGACCCCTGGCCACCTTGAGTGGAGGCTGGTCCTTCAAGACACAATGAAAGCAGGGTTCTCCTCCCCAACCGGGCATTTTCAGTGATCAGAACTATGAAACATATTTATTTTTTATAAGAAGGTAAATAAGTAGTGAGTTCATATTAATAGTTGCTATTCAATTCAAGATCACCAGGCATTTATTTGACATTTATACTGATGGTCTGACTTTCAAACCAATGATATCCATATTACCACTAACAAAAACATCACTGAACATGGTTTTAAGCTGTCTGCCTCACAACATATACAGTAAAGAAACACTGTTTTAAAGTCACTGGGGAGATTTCTGTACTCTTTGTGTCTATACCACCAACTTGATACTCTATTAGGTTTGTTCTAGCTTGTTTTAAATTGGGGGGATTACTTTTTCCTTTTCAGATTCTAAAATAATTATAGAATTAAAAAAACTGTAAAACAAAGGGCATTCAGAGAGATCCAGCTGCCAAATCCCCCCAAAATGCGGTACCTAGCCTGGTGCAATAGTCTACACCTGTAGTCCCAGCTACTGGGAAGCCTGAGGCAAGATGATCACTCAGTCCTAAAGTTCAAGACTAGTCTGGCCAACAGAGAAAGACCCTCTCTCAAAAAGTTGTTCCATTTTGGATTTGCAAAGACAGTGTGCAAACATGCTATTTCCCACATTTTCAATATGTAAGCATCTTTATTTTTTTATACCTGGTAAGTGAATAATGGCTCATCAATAGTAGTTTTAATTTCATTTTTCTTGTTATTAGCAAGAGATTAAGAGCCAAGTTTAACTTTACACTTTGTTTTCTATGAATGGTCTGTTCTTCCTTTCAGTTCATTCTCCCATATATTTTTTTGGGGGGGCAACATATTTAATTAAATTTATCAAATTTTTCCCCATTGCTTATATATGGTTAGGAGTTTGCCTACTCTCTGGATATAGAGAAATTCACCCATGTTTTCTTATAATCTTTTTTTTTAACCAATGATTTTAAATAAGTTCCTGAAGAGATGTTTATGAACCAAAGCACCAGCTAATATTCCAAACCAATAAAGTGATGCTGAACACCGCAGGTTTTTTTTTTAACATGAGACACATTTATTAATCAGTCACATTCACATCTTTCTGAAGTCTTCTAAAAGATGTCAATTTGAGGTCTTCTTGCCTAAATGACAAAAAGTTCCATTAGGAAAATAGAGAATATTTCTGAAGCAATATATGCTATGAATAAACAAACCTATTCAATTGTTAAAACCCTCACCTGTCTAAGAGAAGACAACATAAATCACTATGATGCAGCCCACAATCCAGCCGATCAGGAGAAGAATGGGAACCAGAAAGTGCTGTAACGTGGACTCCGCTTAAAAATAAACAAAGGAAAATGATTAGTTAAGTCGTTTTGGTGTTAAATCTTCTGATCAAGAGAATAAGTGTATGGTAATGTGAAGGGAAAATTCACTCCCTAGCATCCTGTGCATAGGTATTCTTTCTTCTGTATTAAGGATGCCTGTGGGTCAGCCCCAGCCCCTTGGAATACCAAAGGCTGTCCTTTTACAGTGTGTGACCTTGGGCAGCTCTCAGCTGGAACTTCCCTACTTGAAGGTCTAGGTGACAAGATGTGTGATACCTACCTCCTGGAGTGGTAAGGGTCAAATGGTACAATGCATGCTAGGCTTTGTCAACTCCAGGCCCCGTGGGGTTAGTGTACACAGAACACATCTGTCATTTGTGCAATGACACCTAGAGGGCTGCTTACCCAACCACCACCCGCTGTAACTCGGAGGTGGTTCCCACAAAACTGGAAATCATAATGTGGAGAAGTGTTGGAGGATTGTTCTTGGTCTCAATGACTGGCTTTATATTCCATAGGGAAAGGAAAAGGGCATACCTTACATAATCGTTTTCAAATGGAGAAAAGAGACTATTTCTTTAAACTTGTTCATTATAACAACCAGCACTGAACTGGAATCTCTAGGCAGCAATAACCCAACTCACGAAGGGAAGACGTTTGACTATCATATTTCTCTGGCCCCTCCTATTTGTATTTTTACCAGTGAAAAGCAATTTGTAAATAGTCACTGCATCAATCCTGCTCATTCAAGCAAACACTTGTGCACATACACCTTGTGGAAAGGTACAGACAGCACAGGAAGACAGCTCAGAATCAGGGTTCAGGACTCCAATTCTTAACTGGAAAGCACAGCCCAGGTCTGCCATTAGCTACAGGGAGGCATGTTCTCTCCAAGTGCTCTCCCCACCACACCTCCCAGCACTTCCAACTGTGAAGGGCTTTTTAAACGCTATTAAAATAAAGTCATCAAGAGACAAGACATTTCTAAAATTAGAACATGCTTTCATAAAAGCAAACTCTCTGAAGTTTAAAAGAACTTTAATACTTGCAAGCTATTTTTACAAGGGTCGGTGTCTCTCTTAACTGATGACTAGAGTGGTCTTCCCTTGCTGCTCTTCTCACTGTGACCTTGAACGAGGCGTGAATCGGTTAATAAGAATGCTCTTTGCCCATTGTGTGCTCTGGCTGTACGTGTAAAGCAGTAGATGCCCTTGACTCTCATTTGGACAAAAGCCTGTTCGTGAGTTAAGGGGCCAGTACAGTGAAAATATAGAACAGTAAATGTTTAACTGTTCATGTAAATGAGAATGGATTTTTGTCCGTTTCAAAGAACTTGAAAATTAATATTGATCTTTCAATTGAACACTTATAAATATTTTATGCAAGCATATTTAATAAAATTTAATAAGGCATATTTTAATGAAATTTACATTTAATAAAAGCTCTAAAAGTAAATATTCTATTACTTTCTATCCCTTGTAAGACAGTATAACTTGCCATGCATTTCAGCACTCAAATGTAACCTTAGTGTTCTTTGAGCATTGATATTTCTGGATTTTTCCTCTATGTGTAGCACTGTTTGGAAATGGGGGTACATAAGCCCCAACATACTCTGCACACTCATGTTATCAGCACAAGAGCAAAACTTCTTTTTAAATCCAGAGAGTAATTTCGAAATGCTTCTCTCTTTGTCCAGCTCTGAGCACACCACGTGGTGACCGCTGGAGGTGCTCTTAAGGGCACTGCACTGTGGGTCCAGACTGCCCAAGCCCAGACCTGCTGCCACCACTCCAGTGCCCGTGGACAGACACTAAACTTAGCCATATGTCAGTTTCCTTATCTGTAAAAGGGGGACAACGAGAAGAAACATATTGTACCAGGTCGTTGTTGGAATTAAAAGCAAAAATTCCTGCAGGTTTTTAAAGAACACGTCTTAACACAGATACATTCAGCCTATTTTATTATATTGGAGTCAATTATGTAAATATGAAAAATCTTTAAAGAGCAGAAAAAATAAATTTAGATATGGAGCTTATTAGAGATGACTAAGCCAAATTTTCTCATTTTACAGTCAGAAAGCAGGCTGGGAGAAGCCCAGCGACTTCTCCAAATTCACCTGGCCCATTAGTGATCCAGCACAGAACTTGGCTGTCCTTAACCCTGGCCCAGCACCCCAACGACCTCAAATCCAGAGAAGTATCGGGGTTGACAACTCATCTTTCAAAATGAGCATGAATAAGATTAAGCTCCTTTTATTGTCTGATTCTTTCAAAATTTGGTACAACACATAAGCATGATTTCTGAACGACATATCTATCGAATTCCTTTTTGGCAGCTACATTAAAATGGCTAATGATCCTTTAGCAGAGATACCATGTTCTTTAGAATGCAAATGCTAAGAAACACAAATAAACCCAAGTCCCCCAAATCCTTCTTTGCTAAAGAATCTGTGCCTTGGCTCTTACCTTTCCCGGCCATTCTTCCTGCTGTGGAGTGGCGCCGCGGGGCACACTTACCTCTTCCTTATTGTTATCCAGCGTCTCTTTGAACTTTAAATAGAGAGATATCTGAAGAGTGTGGCAGCTGCCCCTCTCCTGCCTGCCAATTGTCTGCAGGGTGATGTAAGTCATTGGAAAGCAGAACTCCTGCTTCTGCTTTATTCTTTTATTATGGAGGAAACAGGGGGCTCCGGGGACTGGAACACTTAGGTAAGCTGAGTCTTCCTAACGCAGAGGCATGCACATTTTTAATCCTCTTTAGATGATGAGAAGAAAATGTTCAGAAAGGGGGCACTCAGAAAAAAATGACTTGGAAATTACAGACTCCATCAGGAGGGAGGGTGATACATAAGAAAGAAAGGATTTGGGAGGTGGAGAGATCTGGGTTCAAATTCCAGCCCTGCTCTTTCTGTTATGAAAACTAAGTCCTTTAACCCGGGCTTTGAGTTCTTTAATTTTAAAATGAGAATAAAAATACTTATACAGGGGAATTACATAATGGCAAAATGAAAAGCCATATGAAATCTAGACAGTTCTTTATTATATTGCAGATGCAAAAGATAAAATAAATTAAATGATGCCCCATCCTTTGAACCATCCTAAAATCAGAAATTGTTGATATAAATGTATTAGAAACTAAACAACAAAGACCCTATGGTGTTGCCTAGATTTTCAGGGAGCAGTGATAAGCTAGTTGTTTATAATAGCGACGTTAAGAAAAAGACATTTCATTTTTCAAAGTCCGACCTGGTTTATACAACATGACCTGCACTATTCTCTAGGTTCTCATTGGAATGGCTTTAATTTGGGAGTCTGACTGGAAAAAAATCTCTCAAAGTGACCCAGTGATTAACATCTCCAAAACCCAGCCTGGGATTGAGCAGGTTCTCCAGCAAGAGACCTGATCAAAGATCTCCACAAAACTCCAAGAGTCATGTTTCCCTACAAAGGGCTACATGGCACCAATGCTCAGGTTCAGTCCAGGGTTCTCTGAACTCCTGTTTAGGCACCTGAAAAGCCCCTCTTATCCTGGATTTGCAATGACATTTCAGTTGTACTGAGCGTCCACCACAAGGCAAGGACATTGTGTGCTTTTCTACCTTAATTAATGTGAAGCCAAGATCTGGCATGTTTGTGTCATTTAAGCCAAATTGTCACACACACCTCTCTCTCTCTCTCTCTCTCTCTCTCTCTCTCTCTCTGACCCTCTCCCTTTCCTATTTAACATTGAAAAACAGTTCCTGACTGTACCAGGCAAGCAGAGAAATAATGTATTGTCCATATTACAAAATCCCTTTCTTATCTAGTAAATTTGGGCATTTTTCTCTATCTTAGCTAATAATATATATTAAAAAGGTTAACCGAGTGCCATAAATTGATATACAGAAGGAAAAATTATCACTGATCTCAGTTAATATAATTTTAAATTATGTTCTTATGTATTCAGTTTAATTGATTAATAATAATAATTATGCATCTCTGAGCCACAGTGTGAGGTTGGGTGCATTCCTACCTTGTGAAATAATCTACCCAGGATATTCAAACTGCTCATCATCTTGAACATTCATAGTTTCAAACAAATATTCATATTATCTTATAGGGAAAACATTTTTTAAATAGTGAAGTACCCCCCCCAAAGAACACAATACACATACATACTAGAGTAAAATAATTTGCTTAAACTAAGTAGAAATAGAATGTACTAAAAGGTTTATACATTTTAAACACTCATTTCCATTTCAATTATCTTAAGCTTTCTTCTTTGATATAAAATAGACTGTTATTAACATTATTGCTATCAATTTGGGGATTGGGAACGGATTACTTTATACCTCATCATTTATTTTTCTGACTTTTCTATAGAAAGAAAGAGGTGGGGGAATTAATTCAATGGACATGAATTTCCCAGATATCAGAAAAAGGTTCAGTCAAGAATTTCATTTCCTTGGTATTTCATAAGTAAATTTTTAAAAATTTTATAATATTTATTCAGGAAAATGTTTTATTCATCAATAGACTGGTTTCACTTTGAACTCATAAACCCAAGGGCCTTTATTTGACCAATTTCTAATCTTTCTCTTAGGACAAACTATTTAAGAACATTTTCTATTTCTACTTTACATACTCTCTTAAAGGTTTAGCTATTAAATCCCTTATTCTCAAGGTGACATTAGATTCTTCTAGAGTACTTGAGCTTAAAAAAATTAAACTATTTTATTCCTTACTCAAAATAAGTCAGAAGTCAGAATTCATCACTTTTCAAATATTTTTACCACTAGTATCTGGAATTACAGTATATGGCCCTGATTGTGGTAGATGCTCTGCTTGGGGCTGGCCAGCTGAGTGGGTGGCTAAATCAAGGAACTCGGAAAATGCAGCTCAGTTTTCACAACTAAACAAAGATTTACTTATCGTAATACCTAAACAAGTCACAAGTAATAAAACAGTCTTAACTATATGCTAGCCTCATCTGGTATGCTTATAGTGACAATATTTTCCAGTCTTAATTATTAGTTATATTAGAATAATCTATAGTTCATGATATGGTCAAATAAAAGAGTGAAATCAGCAGAAATAGAGAAGTAAGAATCTCCAAAACTCTCTCTTCTCAATAAAAGCAATAAGAAAACTCACTACAATTTAGGAATCAAATTTCTCAGAATTCTGGAAACTAACCATAGGTTTACAGCAATTGGGAAAGCATTTATAACATTTATTTAATAAAAAGTCTTAATCTCAGCATGAATGGCGGAGTTTTTGTTGCCTTAATTTGACTTATTCCATCTCTCCATCTGCTCTTTGCAGTAGACTTGAAAACCTGCATGCCACAATACCAGTGAACACCAGGATCTAGCCCCCACCAAAGGCACAGGATGGAGTAAAGCTCCTTAGAAGTCTCATTCTAGGGAAATCTTCATTATTTGACTTGTCTGGTTATTCCCCCCAAGTGACTCCACCCTTGCAAGGCTATTGTTGGCTCAGAGCTCACCCAGTGTGAAAATTATCCCCACTCAGAGCATTTGTTGAAAACAATTAGAGGCAAGTGTTGAAGGTCAGCTGCTGGTTAACAGAGTGAACAATGGGCTAAGAAAAGGCTTTAAAGGGGAAACTAGAGAGTGAGACATTCATAGAGGCTTTGAAAGGCTCTCCACATCCTTGAGGATTTAGGCCACAAGTGTATGATCAGATGTTTGTGGGCCCATGCCTGTGGGCATGCATAGAAAAGATCTGAAAAGGTCCTAAGCTTCCACCTCAGGCTAACCTTGGGGCTGGAGAGAGGAAGTGCAGGGTAAGGCAATTTATTAACTGTCGGTTGATCATTAAAGGCATTCTCTAACACTTTCACAAAGCCCTTTTTCAAAGTCTGGGTGACTACATAGTCCCAGGCATTTAAGGAAATGTCTGTTCAATCATTAGTTGACCACTAAGCCAACTGAGCAGAAAGAAAGACCAAAGGCCACAAAAGACAAAGAATACAGACTGCACAAAATCAGTGCAAAAAAATCACTCAGCAAACAAACAACAATAACAGCAGCAACAACAAACTCTTGGGAGGGGCAGAATCTGATTTCAAGAGTTGCCAAGTTATATAATTCAAACCCAGTTGTTTTAGTCAGCTTTTTTGCTGGCGTGACTGAAATATCTGACCAGAACAATTTTAGGAGGAAAAGTTTATTTGGGGCTTATGGTTTCAGAGGTCTTAGTCCATAGAAGCCTGGCTACATTCCTTGGGGCTCATCATGGCCGAAGAGTGTAGCAGGGGGAAGCAGTCACATGGTGATCAGGAGGAAGAGAGACTCCACTCACCAGATACAAGGATATACCCCAAAGCCACACCCCCAATGCTCTACCTCCTCCAGCCACACCCTACTTGCCTTCAATTACTACTCAATTATTCTAATCAGGTAATTAATTCACTGATTGGGTTAAAGCTCTCTCAACCCAATCCTTTCCCCTCTGAACCTTCTCACATTGTCTCACGTGTGGGATTTTTGGGGGACACCTCACATCTAAACCATAACACCAGTTTTCAACTACAAGTTATGAGACATGCAAATGAACAAAAAAAAATATGGTCCATATACCAGGAGTAAGAAGTAATCAAAATCACAGATACTCCTCAACTTGCAGTGGGATTATGTCCCAACAAACTCATTGTAAATTAAAAATATCATTAGTCAAAAACGCATTTGATACATCTAACCTGCCAAACATCATAGCTCAGCCTAGCCTACTTGAAACATTCTCAGAGTGTTTCTATTGGCCCATGGTTGGTTCATCTACCACAAAGGCTATTTTATAATGAAGCGTTCAATATCATGTGATTTATTGGATACCAGACTGAAAATGAAAAAGAGAATGGTCATATGGGTGCTCACCATTATCACAACAAAAAGCACAGGTCCTGAAAAAATCTTTGACGCTGAATGATAGAGATGCTACTGCAACAAGGCTATCTACTTTGCTGACTTCTGAGGAGGCTTGGGAGTAACTGAAAGAAGGCACTGGGACATTCACACTTGATAGGTTGGCAACTATAGTGTTCCTCAGGAAAATGTCATCTTGACTTTACAGTTTGTTTCTGATTTGCATTATGAATTTCTCTGTAGCAAACAAAAGAGCCTCCTGTATCAACCTGTCTGCCTGTCAGCTCAGAAGGATCTCTCATAATTGGTGCCATTTGCCACTTTCTTTCTTTTTTAATTGTTTTTATATATATATATATATATATATATATATATATATATATGACAGGAGAGTGTATTTGGGCATACAAGGAGTATAACTTATTCTAATTAGGAGTCCATTCTGGTGCTTGAACATGATGTGGTGGTGTATTCATATATGAACATAGGAAAGTTATGTCTGATTCACTACGCTATCTTTCCTATTCCCATACCTTCTCCCTTCCCTTAATTCCCTTTTGTCTAATCCAAGGAACTTCTATTAATTGGTGCCATTCTTTAACATTCATATATC